GTGTGTGTGTGTGTGTGTGTGTGTGTGTGTGTGTGTGTGACCTTGTTTTTCCTACATTGTTGGGACAATTTTCCCAAAAAAGCAGCCTTGTGGGGACCAATGCCCGGTCCCCAAGGGTCCAAATGCAAATTACGGTTGGGGGAGGTTAGTTTTAGGACCAAGGTGGGAATTAAGTTTATGCTGGATTGAGGGTCAGGTGTGTACTGGAGTGGTTAGTTTTAGGGTAAGTGGTCAGGGTTAGGCTATAGAAATGACCAGTAAATGAATGGAAGTCAATGGAAAGTCCCCATGAGAATAGAAGAACAGATGTGTGTGTGTCTGTGTGTGTGTGTGTGTGTGTGTTTATAACATTAGCAAAATTTGTTATGAGCCACTAGTGTGATTTTAATGAAACTGTGAGTCATCAGTGGATGAACCTCTAAAACTGATGAACTTTTGGAGGAAATGACTCTCATGATGATCGCTATACCTTAATCAGTTTTACAGATATTGAGCTAAATGTTGTGTGGTAGTAGCTAAGAGTCATCTCCATGATTGTCTCACAAGAAAATGCGTGAGATCACACTTCTTCGTTTACAAATTTTGACCAAAACAGCTGTCTCTCTGTCCCTTCTCATCTTTAAAACTCTGGTTTGAAAAGCGTCAGGCGATATGACGTTGACAGATCCGGGCCTCCCTTGCAAAATGTGGTCTCGATGGGATTTGTCTGGTTAAGTTAGTAAAAACATTCCATCAAGAAATGCTAGCCTTAGTCTGTGTGTGATTATTTAATCTAAAGAGAACTGTTAGCTGAGGTCTTGTTTACACGGGAACAATCTCTGCAAACGTGAGCGTTTTTCCAAACTCGCTTGTGGCAAATTAATACAGAAAACCTGCAGCAGAAGTCCTACGGTTTTATTCTAAATCAGCGTTGTGTAAACTGAGCCTCAGCTGACCCGTGTTTCCCAGCTCCTCGGCCCAGTTCCACCAAGGATGAACTTGGCAGCCTCGTTTCTCCTCCTTGTGACCGTGGTCCCAGCCAGGCCTGTGAGTCAGCTTGTGTCGTGGTCATATATTGAATTAGGGACCCAGCTTTGTGTCTTTGCTGCTCAGTATGAATGGCTGCGCATCTCAACAAACTACAGACAATCTTTGGCCACGGTTTTCTGCTGTTCACGAGCATTTCCTTAAGCTAATCACTGGATAATGTGTGCAGTGCTACAGAAGTGACTGAACTGTGTTTCTTATATCAGCTCTTTGCTCTACGGTAAAAACTGAGCACAGTGTTGGAGGGGTGAACATGTCGGGTGGTACTCTGAAAATGTTTCTCTTCTAAAGCCCGACGCCAACTCTCAACGAGCTGGCACCGCCGTCCCAGCGGCCTGCCTCGCTCTTTTGCAGCGTTCCATGCAGCGTGCACACAATGCAGCCCACTCAGAGAGGAGCCAGTGTGTGTGAGAGAGGGACAGAGATGCGGTTTATATGTGCCTTTGTGTTTACACACACACACATTCCTGGGACAGAGAGTTCAGTATGTGAATGAAACCAGGAAGAAGGCGTGCAAGACGTACAATTCAACTGTAAGCACATTTCTGTTTTATTTATTCTGGAGAAATATACTGAGTCATAACTATTTATCACATAAAGTGTAAAAATCAGAATCAAAATGCTTTTAATTAGTTTTTAAAACTTTAAAGTGGGCTGTTTAGTTAAGTGAGCTTGACTTGCTGATCATTGGATTGTTTTAAAGAGAGGAGATGAGTCAATAAAACTCCTGGGGGAAGGAAGGGGTGGTGGTGGGTTTGAATAAAATGCATCAGATTAATGAGTGACCCGATTCTCCTCTGCTGGAAAAGAATGAAGTGATTCACCAGAGAAAACGACTCCTGTAGGCTTCAACTTGAAAAGTAGTGAGTTAGCTCACTGTAACTTTCTCTCTTTTAGGTTGCCTTTTAAATTCCCTTCTTTAAGTTCTTTACCATCAGTTGCTGCAAACTTTATTAAAGGATGAATTAGATTTTCCCCCCAAAGGACCTTTCCTTAGCTTAGAGCATTTTCTCATGTTTCAGGAGACAATCTTGTTAGTAACTGATGTCAGAGTTTTAACACTCATCAAATTTATCGGTGACTTCTTGTGTTGTGTGGAAGAGAGCAGTTACACCAAACTCGTCAGGTGTTTTGTTGGTTGGAGGATAATGATGATCTTTTTAGAACTTCTTCTAGTTGATTAGCAGTGTCTCTTTACCTTGAAGGGTATACTGAAGCCCACCACAGTCCAGGGGCCTCATGTATCAACGGTGCGTACGCACAAAAACCTTGCGTACGTCACTATCCACGCAAAACTCCGGATGAATCAAAACTCAACTGAACGTGGAAATGTGCGCAGCCCCACGTCAACTCCAGGGCTGGTGTACGCACGTTTCTGTGGCTTTGGTTCCATTGG